AAAATTCTACCTAATCTAAATTATTTATAAACAGCTCATCAGAGCCCCTATTTGTCATAGACTTTTGGGTTTACTATTAGGATCACACAGTAGGACATTTGTTTTTTGTCTTTAAAATTGTAATATTTGTATGCAGTTTGCTTTTTTATTAAACATAATCCAAGGTGAGCCTTGACTTTGAATAGTGCTAGGACAAGATAGTATCCTAACACCAGCATGGATATGCTTTCCATTGTGTTTGACATGTGAGCCAAGTAGTAGTGTCAGCCTGCTGTGAGCTAACATTGCCAGGATGAGTCTCCTATAGAAATAATTTGGATTTTTTCCCCAGTATTTAGTAATGAAAGATATTAATACATTAATGGTAATACATTTCTGGTTTAATATAAATTTAAGTATGTTTTCTAGTTGCACATGAATGCTGGCAACTTAGTAAAGTTTAAAGTAATGTTAAGCTTAGGCTTAAAAAAGCTGGTAAACTGGATCTTTGTAATTTGCTTTAAAAAAAAAAAAAAAGAAATGTGAATGTGTTGGTGCATTTTTTCCTGGGGGAGAAAAAAGGCTGTCTTTTCTCCAATATGTTTTTGGCACCTTGTCAAGGATCAGATAACTGTACATGTGTGCATTTATCTCTGTGTTTTCTATTCCATTGGTCTATGTGTCTGTTTTTAATGTCAGTACCATGCAGTTTTTGGTACTAATGCTCTGTAGTATAATTTAAAACTGGGTATTGTGACGCCTGTTGCATTTCTTTCTTTTCTTTTTCTTCTTCTTCTTCTTTTTTTTTTTTTTTTTTTGGTACCAGAGATTGAACTCAGGGGCACCTGACCACTGAGCCATATCCCAGCCCTATTTTATATTTTATTTAGAGACAGGATCTCACTGAGTTGCTTAGTGCCTCACTGTTACTGAGGCTGGCTTTGAACTCGTGATCCTCCTTCCTTAGCCTCCCAAACCATTGGGAGTACAGGCCTGTGCCACTGTGCCCAGCTAGCATTTATTTTTTTGCCTTAGAATTGCTTTGACTATTCTTCATCTTTTATTGTTCCATATGAATTTTAGCTCAGTGTTTTCTAGTTCTGTGAAGAATGTCATTGGTATTTTGGTGGGATTACATTGAATCTGTAGACTACTTTTGGCTATATGGTCATTTTAACAATATTAATTCTACCTATCCATGAATATGGGAGGTCTTCCTATCTTTTAGTGTCTTCTTTAATTTTTTTCTTCAGTGTTCAATAACTTTCATTAGGTATTTATTTTTGAGACTATTGCAAATGGAGATGTTTTCCTTATTTCTTTTTTAGAAGATTCATTATTGTAATATAGGAAAGCAGTTGATTTTTGTATCATGATTTTGTATCCTGCTACTTTGCTGAATTTATTTATTAGCTATAGCTGTCTTATGGTGGAGATTTTTGGATCCTGTGAATATAGGATCATATCATCTGCAAACATTTGACTTGTTTCTTTCCTACTTATGTCCCTTTTATTTCCCTTTTTTGCCTAATTGCTCTGGCTAAAATTTCAAGTACTATATTGAATAGAAGTGGTGAGAATGGACATCCTTGTCTTTTTCCTGATTTTATAGAAAATTATTTCAGTTTTTCTCAATAAGTATGATGCTGGCTTTGGGTTTGTCTTTAAAACCTTTATGATGTTGAGGTAAATTCTTCTATTCCTAGTTTCTTCGTTGTTCTTCATCATGAATGGGTGCTGAGTTTTATCTAACACTTTTGCAGCATCTATTGAGATGATTATGTGATTTTGTTCTTAATTCTATTCTTTCCTTTCACATAGTATGTTCTTGGCACCTTTGTCAGAAATCACTGGGCCATGATGCATGTATGTTGGGGGTGGAGGGACAGTGCTCTACAATTTTATCAGATGTGCAGGTTTGTGGATCCAACACCACCACCAAGATACAGACCATCACTACATTTATCCCTTGTGTTGTCCTCTTATAACCAAAGTCTGTTTCCTTCCATTTCTTTCCTCACTGCCTCAAACCCTAACTCATGGCAAAATTTCTGTAATATTATTTCAAGAACAAGTCAATTCATACAGCATGCAACATTTTGTGATTGGCTACTTTTTTTCATTTAGCACAATTCCCATGAGATTTGTCCAAGTCTCCGAATTATTAATATTAGTTTCTTTTTGTTTATGGGTAGTATGTGATAGTATGGATATACTTAAGTTTTGTATAATCATTCACTAACTTGAGGACAATTGTTTCTATTTATAAGCTGTTACAAATAAAACTATTATGAATATTTATATACAGATTTGTATGTGAATGCAAGTTTTTATTTCACTGGGATAAATGTCCATGAATGCAGTTGTTGGGTTATGGTAATTACATGGCCAGTTTAATAAGAAACTGCCAGACTTTTTCAGAGGTGATACCGTTTTACATTTTTGCCAGGAATATACGATCCAGAGTTTCTGCATCCTTGCCAATTTTTGTTGTTGTTACTGTATTTTAATTATTCTGATAGATATAGAGTGACATAATTGTGGTCTAAATTTTTATTCTTTTATGGATAATGATGTTGAACATCTGATATCCTAATTTTCTAGTGGTATGTTCTTTTCATTAAAATGTGTTTTTCTTTTCTTTATTGTTGAATTTTAAGAGTTCTTTATATATTCTAGATTCTAGTTCTTTGTTGGATATGGTTTGCAAATATTTTCTCCCAATATTATCTGTAGCATCTTCTTACAAGGTCTTCCACAGTGTAAAACTTTATTTATTTTTTTTTAACTTTGATGGTGTCCAACTTAGTAGCAGCATTCACTCTGATGTATCATATTTTTAGTTCAAGTCTAAGAACTCTTTGCTTTGCCCTAGATTTCAAAGATTTTCTCCTATATTTTTCTAAAAGTTTTATATTTTTACTTATGCATTCAAATCTGTTATCCATTTTTAGTTCATTTTTCTATATAGTGTGAGTTTAGGTTGAGATTTTGATATATTTTTTTTTCCTGACCTATGGCCATCCAGCTCTTCAGTATCATTTGTTGAAATACGATTCTTTCATTGATTGTTTTTATACCTTTGTCAAAAATTATTTGGTCATAGTTATGTAAGTCTGTTTCTGAATTTTCTGTTCTGGTCCACTGATTTATGTGCCTGTCTTGATAACCATAAGTTATATGGTAAGCCTTAATACCCAGTAAAGTGATTCCCTCTCACTTTATTCTTTTCAAGGATTGTTTTAATATTCTAGGACTATGCCTTTCCATAAAAATTTTAGAATCAGCTGGCTTAATTATTCAAAAAAACTTTGTTGGAACTTTTATAGAACTTACATTAAACTTACAGATCAGTTTGGGGACAGTTGACAGCTTTATTGCATTGGATTGAAATCCATGAACACATCTCTCCATTTTGTTTTAATATTTTTTAATATATATATTTTTAGTTGTTGATAGACCTTTATTTTATTTATTTATATGTGATGCTGAGAATTGAACCCAGTGCCTCACACATGCCAGGCAAGTGCCCTACCACTGAGCCCCAGCCCCAGCCCATTTGTTAAAATGTTCTTTTATTACTTCTAACAGTATTTTGTAATTTCAACATAAGAGCTTATACTTGTTTTCTTACATTTGTACCTAAATATGTAGTTTTCTTTAAAGTGATTATTGATGGTATTGTCTTTAATTTCAGTTTCTATATATTCCTTATTAATATAGAGAAATAGAATTGGTTTTTGAGTTTGGGTTTCAAAAAGTACAAGAAGTAACTTTTTACTACTGGTTGCCTAATTTCCTTTTCCTCCCCCACTCCTTTAGTTATTGATATTTATTTATTTATTTATTTATTTATTTATATGCAGTGCTGAGAATTGAACCCAGTGCCTCATACATGCTAAGCAAGAGCTCTGCCACTGAGCTACAATCCCAGCCTTCCTTTTTTTCTTTTTAAAATTTATCTTAAGTTGGTCTGTAGAATTTTCTTAGAGGTAGTTCTTATAAATTAATTGCTAGTAATACTGGCAGTAGAAATATTATTTAAAATTTATGTGCTGAGGCTAAGAGCTTGCCAGGCTAATGTTAAGAGCTGGGACTCAAACACAGGCTTGCACCGAGCACTTTCCAATATGACATACCATATCAGCATTTAAAAACAATTTTTTTTGACGGTACCAATGTAGTATGTTTTCAGACTAGGACTGAATCCCTAAAAATGACAACCTGGCTAGAATTATTAAGTGCTTCTTTACTTTTTTCCTGTCTCTGTAGACAGTGTACAATTTTCTACTAACATTCAGTGCCTTGAGACAAATTGAGTTTTATTCCCTTTAATCCAATTCTTATAAAAATTCTTTATATTTGAAATTTAAAACATTCATCAGATTGATATTTATTTTATGCCCCCAACTAATATTTATGGAGCCAGGTATTATGCTAGGTCTGAATATACTGGGGTGAATAAGACATTATTCTTTAACTTGCTGATGGTCAAGTAAAGAAGACTAGTAGGTGATCAGATCATTGGAGTTAGGGGTAGGGTCATAAGCACTGGAATACATTAAAGTAGGGGTGGTGAGTGATACAGCTAAGTGCAGGTGTTACATGAGTATGTGCCAGAGATATCTCATACTAGCTTGTAGAAGACAACTATTAAAGAGTCAGAGACTGGGAATTGATTTCCCAAGTGGTAGCTTGAAATTGGGGTAGGAATATTTACACCATGAAACTTTGGAAATGCCCCAAATAAGGCTTTCCTTTTTCTTTTTCTTTTGTTAAATTTCCCTTAAGAAATCTAGTTTACCAGTATACCCCTGTTTCTATAGGAATAGAGCTACTAGATTTAATCCTTCATCTCTCTGCATGAACCTTTCTGTCAAGTTGAATCTTGTCTCTGGATGAACTACTGCAGATTTAGGCAACAGCCTTTCACAAACATGGTGGCTGCTCCTCTCTTTAAGATGTTGAGAGCTAAACTGGATCTAATTACCCTATGGTAATATAATAATCTCTTGTTCCAGAGATTATAAAGCAGCTAACATCAACATCAACTTATACGTTGTCAATGAGCCCTGGCTATACTCACTAGCCTGGTGTTCCAGGATTAACTCAGTGACCACAGACAACATTCCACTCCTGAGTCAGCTTAATCACCCTCAATTCTTCATGGTAAGCCTCTTGTTCAGATTGTTCTAAGCCTAGTACAATAGTGGTCTATATCCCCTCCCCTATGTTGCCCACTGTGCAGTCCGCGGGAGAGCTACTTAAAAACAAAGACTTCTATAAATAATGGAGATGTGGCATTCTCCATTTTACCCAGATCCTTCTATGATTTTTATTTATTGAATCTTTACAATGTGCTTTGTAACTTACCCCTCTGAATAGGCCACTATTATTTTTATCCCCATGAGCTCCAAGATGTCTCTGCACAGGACCTCATGATGTAATATTCATAATTAGATCTGACTGTAGAGGGTTTTTTTTTGTGTGTGTGTACTCCTGCCTTGCTTGGAGGTATGGCAACAGTGGCAATGGGGTGTGGAAAGAAAAACCAAGTGTACATGACTCAAAAGTGAAAACTGTTTCTTAAGCAAAATTTTTCTGAAGAGGTGAACCAGTGTTCACTTGTCTTCCTTGGAACCTTGGCTAACCAGTTACCATATCAGAGAGAGAGAGTGAGGGCGAGCGAGCGAGCGAGCATGCGCACACTTTGTGGTACTGGGGATTGAATCTGGCCTTGCACATGCTGTTCAAGCTCTCTGCCATTGAGCTACATCACCAGTCCCCCATCTTTTATTATTTTATTTTGAGACAAGGTCTTACTAAGATGTCCAGGCTGGCCTCAAACTTGCAATCCTCTTGCCTCAGCTTCTTGAGTAGCTGAGGTTACAGGAATGTGCCATCGTGCTAGCCTGTGTTTTTTATCTATATAGAAAGTAAGTTGACAATCTCATAGGGTAGGTACTGCATTAAAGCCCACTGGTTGAAATATGGAATCACTGACCCCTTTTTTCTCTGTTGACTTGAGCAACTTTCTGGAGATAATAATGAAGGAAACCTTGGATGACAGATCCATCAGCATAGGTGAAGCCTTTCTACCCACTTGTTCCTATAAACTGTCCTTAATGTGTACACTATATATTTTTCTGATATTTTGGTTTCTAAAATTGATTATAAAAAAATATTTGGTTTTTAAAATTCATTATATGAAATTCAGTCATTATGAAAATATATAATTTAGAAAGCAATACATGCTCTATACCTATCTCCCTGAATCAATAATGTCTCAAAGTTGTTCCTTTGGCAAGTATACTTTTACTTAAATGATACTGGTATTTCTGAAAGTTTTTTTTTTCCATTTCAGTGGGGGCACAGCAAAGTCATATTGTATAGGGGCTTTTATAGATTTGAAAGGAATACTGTGGTTCTTTTTATCAATAGTATATAAAATATAATTCACATATTTTATTTGAATTTAAAATTCATTTATGTTTTGGTAAAGTCTTTGGGGATATTTAAGCTGATTGAGTTCTATGTTCTCTTGCTTATTCAAACACCCAAATGAACTAGCTATTGTTTTTCTAATTTTTGTTTCTTTAAAACAGAAAAAGAACATAAAGTCACTGAGAGAAACAATTGATATGAGGAATCCACCAAGATTTTTATAGTTTCCCTATCTTACTCTTAGTGTTTCACCCACACCAAATCCAGGTGTAGTTTATTTTTCGAATTAGTCTTTCTTCATTTGACTTAGTTTTCTTGAAGATGACTATTATAGTTTAAACATAAGTTGCCCCCGATAAAAGCTCATGTGTGAGACCATGCAAGAATTTTCAGAGATAAAATAATTAAGTTATGAGAGGTATAACCTAATTTGTGGATCAATCCAAATATGGATTGATTGGGTGGTAACTGTAGGTAAGTGTGCTGGTAGGGTGTGGGTGGAGGAAGTAGGTCACTGGGGTGTGACTTTGGGGCTTATATTTTGTTCCTGGTGAGCAAAGAGTTCTCTCTACTTCTACTTATATCCTGAGCTGCTTGTCTCTGCCATCCCCTTCTGCCATGATGTACTGCCTCACCTTGGCCCAGAGATATGGGGTGAGTCAACCATGGACTGAAACTCTAAAACAAAATAAATGTTTCCTCCTCTAGATTGTTCTTGTTGTTCAAGAAACTGAGTAAATAATGACACAGAAACTGAGTAAAATAATGACATACTTTTTTCACTCACATTTTATAGATGTGAGCAAAATTTAATCACATTCAACAATTACAATAACAAGCACTGCTGACTTATAGTTAAGCCATTTGGGGAAAAATTAGAGATGAAGGGTGAATACTGTTTTGTCCTTTGTACATTGCCTGCATGTGTGTGACAGTGACTTAGAATAGCTGCATAATTTCTAATAATTAATGTGTTTGAGACTGCCACATCTATAAAGTCTTCTTTACCTAGTCTGCCCCTCTTTCTTCTCTTTGCCAGCCTAGACAGCAGAGCAAGGGACTTAGCCCATAGCATCTAAAACTCCTTCCAACTGTAAAGTTCTTTAACAGTGGTTTATTTTATGTTTTGCAGTCACCAACAAAGTATCTGTTCATATGGCTTTTCACAGATATTGTTTCTGCAGTTTTCATTATTGCTATATTTTTTTATTGCTGGTAAGTACATATTTATAATTTAAATTAATTTTGTTCAAATAAAAAAAAATGGATTTTTATAGAAATTTAGAAGAAACAGTTATACTCTTCCTATAATCATACATGGCAAGATGGGCCTTACAATCTAAACTTCTCGTTCTTCTTATGCTGCCACACCTTCCTCTTTCCAACACAAGTCAATATTTTCAGGGCAAGGACCCTCACTAACATTTAATCAAGTCTGTTACCATAGATTCAGTGTGAAGCAGTTGGGAGGGGATAGGGGTTGTCCAGAACAAATGCCTCCACCTTTCTACTTGCCAAAATGAAAGAGCAGGGTTTTGACCAGGGTCACAGACCGGGAAGGATAAGTTTTGGAACTGGCTGGGTAGTTCTGGGAAAATCACTGTCCCTTTCCGGGTTATAGTTATCTGTTAAAGAAAATGACATTTGAGAATACTTGCAGGACAAATACAATAGGATTGCAAATTTTAAGGTTAGAAAAGAAAAGGGACATCCTGGAAGAAGAAGGTTAGTTAGAGGAGACCATGGTTCTTTAGACCCCATTATTACCTGATGTGTGACTTAACCTTTAAAGTGAGGGAAGCATAAACCTGCTAATGTGGGAATCTGACCAGATAATGTTTCTTTTCTGACCACTGCCATGGATTTTTTTGCCTTTTTTCAAAAAGGCCTGTGAGTTTATGGATGGTTTGCTTCCTTCTAGGTGGAGAGAAATTAAAAAAGAAAAACTGCAGGAAAGTGTCAGCCCTCCCACAGGTAAAGCAGAGGCCTCACCCACTCCTTTCTCTTCATCACTTCCTTTGCTTCAAAGAGACAGGATCTGCTTTTTGTGTTTCTGACAACAGCTGAGGGTGTCTGGGAGATTAGGGGGTAGGGACCAAGAAGAAGTCTGGAAGTATAGTCAGTTCCACCTTTATCCATGGGTTTCAATCAAACTCCAGTGGAAAACATTTGAAAAAAATGTTGTTGTTGCTAAGGTGTATTATGTAGTCAGGCTTATGACAGTTGTGTCTGTACTGATCATGTAGACTTTTTTCATGTCATGAGTCCTGTGTCACTTAACAATGGGGATACAGTCTCAGAAATGCTTTGTTAGGTGATTTTATTGTTGTGTAAAGATCATAGAGTTACTTACACAAACCTAGGTAGAGTCTATATTTATTTATGTATATGTACACCATATAGTGTAGGAGTGTGTGCATATGTGTAAGGAATAGTATGGTAGTATATATAGTATATATATATATAGTACATGGTATAGATGGTATAACTTAGTGCTGCTAGGGCCATGATGAACAAAACAACATGGTATTAAATCAAGCACAGGAGAAAATGATAAAATTGAGAGATTTGGTAAACATGAAACATATGAGGCTGCTGACAGAACAAGACATATTGTTTTACGGTAAACCTTTTTATAAGAAGATATATTTAAATATATATTTTATGCATATTAAATATATATTTAATAATATAGTTATTAAATTATAAATGATTTATCAACAAGTATTATATACTGGATATAATTGTAAAATTAGCAATATAGTAGATTTATTTATAAGAACATCAACACAAATGTGTAATGTGTTATACTCTGATGTCATGATGGCTAGAATTTCACTTGAAGACAGGAATTTTTCAGCTCTATTATGACCTTTTGGGACCACTATCATATATGCAGTCCATAATTGAGCTTAACACTGTTATGCAGCACATGACTGCGATTTCTAAACAATACAAGGAAAAGACTATTTATATGCACTTACATCATATTAGGTATTGAAAGTAATCTAGAGATGATTTAAAATTTCATGGGAGGATATGTATGCATTATAAATCTATTTTATATAAGAGACTTGAGCATCTACAGAGTTTGATGGAAGTTAGTTGTCTAACAAGGGATGGCTACATAGGCTGCTAGAGATTCTGGAAGACCCTTTATATCAAGCTTCAGATTTTAGGCTTTATCCTCTAAGTAATGAGATCCGTTGGAAGATTTCAAGCATAAGTGTTAATTTGTTTACTTCTTCATATATTCATGCATCACACAATTATTGAGTACCAACTTTATGCTAGGTACGCTGGGAGAAGTTGAAGACAAATGAAAACTGTGAAGGGTGGCCTAAGAGAGAGCAGTGAGGAAGCAGGCAGCTTATCAGTTGACACATTAAGCCAGGCATCTAGGTCCAGGCTGCAGAGTAGCTACCATGCCCAGTAGGGGTGAAGATGCTTGATGGAGCTTCAGGCAATCAGGAGGTGACAAATGTGTTTCAAACATGTGAGTGGTAAGGTCATATGTGATTAAGGAAGTGAGATACACCCAGCGAAAGGAAGGGAAGCTAGAACTTTTTTCTCAGAGGATTGTGAGGATAATCACACAGTGAGGTAATAGTTTTGGAAACCAGTGCAATGTCAGAGGGAAAACCAATTAGGCAGAAATTGTATTATGGTTTATTGTTTCCTTCCATAGTTCCTAGAGCTTTAAGTAAAGGTGCAGTCACAAAATCATGAATTAATTTCATTTCTGTGGACAATAGTGGAAATCCTAAGATTCCGTGTACCAGCTAGCAGAGGACTGAATTTAGGATTGTAGGAATGGATCCGCGGGGCCATGAAAAACTTAGTTTAGAAATTTGAATAAATTAAGTGGAGTTCAGCGGTCTTTATCTTATGTGTTTTATAAAACTCAAAGTTTAAGCCAAGTTCATCTAAATTTCTAAGTAGCAGGGAGATCTCAGTTCCCTGTTTCATGGATTTTAAGATCATTCTACTGGCTATGTTAAGAAGTCTGAGGGCTGTATTCCAGCTGTTTATCATTATAAATAGTTGTATTAGTAAACTAGGGCTGCTGTTAAAGAGAGAGAAAAAAAAAAGACAAGCACAGTGCTATACATCTATAATCCCAGCACCAGGAGGATTGTGATCAAGGCTAACTTCAGCAACTTAGCCAGATCTTGCCTCAAAATTAAAAAAAAAATCAAAAGGGATGGTAATGCAACTTAGTGTCAGAGCACCTCTGGGTTAAATCCAGAAGACAAAACCAAACAAAAAATAAAGCAAAACAGAACATAGACTGTGTGGTGTGAACAACAGAAATTTGTGTTCTCACAGTTTTGGAGGCTAGAAGTCCAAGATCAAAGAGCTAGCAAATTTGGTTTCTGGGAGAGCTTTCTTTCTAGCTTATATGTAGCTATCTTCCCAGGTATCCTCATAGGCCTTTCCTGTGTGATTGTTTGTAAAAAGAGAGATCTCTTCCTCCTCTTAAAGACATCAGTGCTACCAGATTAGGGACACATTCTCATGACCTCATTTACCCTTAATTATCTTCTTAATAACCCTGTTTCCAAATATGGTCACATTGAGTGTTAGGGCTTCAACATAAATTTGTTGAAGGCAAAATAATATTTCAGTCTATAACAATAATCCATCCAAGAAATGATTTAAGCATGGAAATACTTCAGAAACCGGGCAGAGAAGTTTTGAAGGAAAAGTTAAAAAAAACTAAGTTTGGATGAAGGAGGTAGCTATAAATACCTTAGAAGTACTAAGTTAACTTGTCCCTATTCCCTGCCATGTTGAAATGATGATAAGGATGTAAAAATAAAATAAATTAAAAATGTTCCCTGTTTTAAAAGATCTTAAGATGCCTTAGAGTTCAATTTTGCCTGATTTAAGCAGAAATAAAATGTATTTTAAAGCTATTTCGGTATCTCCAAGAAACACATAGAAGGTGCTGGGCCAAGTTTAAAATCAGAGAAAGAACAAGGAAGTCTAGACAGAAGCCAGGACCTCAGCAAACACCAGAGCCTAGATCCATTCAGGTTAAGGATGATGGAGCCTCAGAAGTGTCATATCTTAAACCACAACCACCTCCCAAGATGGGCAGTGATGTACTTGCTGATGACACGGTTCCCAACATAATGCACTTCTCTCGCTGTCTTCTGTTTCATGTTTTCTGTTTTGCCTATTAGGAAAAGTCTTGAATTTTCTTATCTTTGTTCCGTTTTTATATGTTTTCCCCCCTCTCATTGCTTTTTAAGATTGTTCCTTTTATTATTGATTTTTGGTAATTTGATTATGATTTACTTTTGGGGGGTGTGTGCTACACACACATATTTTTATCCCGCTTAGGGTTTGCTCAAGTGCTTATATCTGTCAGAGAAATTTTCATCAGGTTGAACAAATTTTCAGTCTTTTAATTTTTTCAAAAAAATGTATGCCCTTTCCCTTCTTCACTTGTTTCTGGGATTCGAATTACATGGATGTTAGAGAGTATGAAATTATCCCATAGGTGATACAGGATAATACTGAGATTCTGTTCATTTTTATTTTTAGCCTATAATTTCTTTGCTTCGTTGTGGGTAAATTCTATCATGTATATTAGGGGTTTTTGTTGCTGTATAAACACTTACCTGAAAGCTTAAAAAACATAAATTTATGTGTCACAGTTATAGGTTAGAAAAGTTCTCTGTTTAGAGTCTTACCAGCCTGAAATCAGAATAACAATTGTGGCTGCAAACGTTTCTGAGGTTTAGGGTCCCCTTCCAAGTATACTAATTGTTACCACAATTTCATTCCTTATAGTACTGACATCTCGTCCTTGCTTTCTTAATGGCTATTGGCAGTTTTGCTCTGATCTCCTAGAGGCCACCCTCAAGTCCTAGCCATATGTTCCTTGGCAACTTACTTCTTCAGTCAACAAGAGAACATCTCTCCAGTCTGCTATGATGGAATCTTGTAATATAATGTAATCATGGAAGCAACTATCTCACTGTTTTCATCATATAACAAACTTATCATGTCTCATTATAGTCACAGATCTCACCCCACTCAAGGGAAGGCGATTTACGAGGGATGTATACTGGAAGTTAGGAAACTTGGAGGCTAACAAAGCATTCTGCCTCCCATACTATATTAGACTTCACTGATATTTTCTTCAGTAATCTTACCTGGTATTAATTTCAAACAGGAAAATTTTCATTTCAAATATTGTATTTTTCATCTCTACAAGTTCTTTTTGGTCCTTTTTATATTTCTCTTGTTGTATTTGTGTTTTCTTTAAATATCTGAACATAGTTAAAATAACTGTCTTAATATTCTTGTTTACTGGTCTCATCATCTCTACTATTTCTGGATCTGTTTATATTAACTGATATTTCTGGATACAGATCATATATTCCTGCTTCTTAGCACATCTAGAATCTATCATTATTTACCATATTATACTTTTTCAAACATGTACTGATTGATTTAAAAATAGTTTTAAAAAATCTATTCTGTAAAACATAAATATAATTTTTAGAAAAATAACCACAAAACAAAAATATGATGAAAGTGTATTATTTTAAAATTTTCCAAATCTCTTTAATGTCTGGATTAATAAAGGACAAGAATTCTCATTTCTGCTTCTGAATTCAGTCTCTTGTAATATCTAAATTTTTATCTAATATTTAAAATAGCTTTAAAATACATTTTATTTCTGCTTAAATCAGGCACTGAACATTAATGAAACAATAAGGAAGAAAACAGAAAATAACTAGTATTATTATGAAGGTAATTCTAATTCTGGTTTTAGAGACCCCCCAGAAAAGGGTCTTACAGACCTCCAGAAGTTCTTAAATGATGGTTTAAGACTTGCTGATCTAAATTTTCATATTTGTCAGAAAAAAGTATATATAATGTCTCATCTCTGAGGACATTCATTATTATATATAATTGAAGCATCTGTAATCATAATCATATTCCTTAATAATTTTGTGTCTTCATTTTCAAACTATTAATCAGTGTCACTAGAAATTTTTAAATTTTATTATCCTTTGATGAAAGACATGAGTGTAAA